CTTGCGTTCGTGACCCTACTCGCGTGTTAATTGCGACTGCATTGATCGTTATTATGCGAAATAACATTTTGGTAAATAAAGCTGCTAGGAGAAAAATACACGTTGGCTGAACGCGTGGGACGGCTCTTCCTACATACATATGTATGTACATGTATATTTACACGATACAAGATTCCAGGTAAAAACTAGAATCGGAATAATAAGACGTTCTCTACATCATCGAGGTAATGCCATTAGGTAAGCCATCGATGACAATTTTCTAACAACTAAAAATCTTTATTCCCTCGCGATTATCCGACAAGAAACGAAGAAACATTACAAAGAACACAATCAGAGTATGTATACATATTATCGCACGTTTAACTTCCACCGCGTATAAACCGTCCGGTGTTTACAAAGCGGCCGATTTTAGATTAAGCTTGCACGATTAATTATTCCAGCGTTCGTAGAGAACAACCTGATACACCCTGACCCGATTAAATTTGCGAAACGTTTCTCTAGACCGAACAAAACCGAATCTTTGTTACGCTTAGAAAAATACGGACGCTCGTGACATGTTGCGAATCCTTCATTTCGACGTTTAACATTGTTTTACCGTGGACACTCGATTTTCCTCCATTCCGAACTTTTATCCTTGATTCGAACGGTAGATTGTATCGTTCGGACGACCACTTTACGATTCCCTCGTACAGTCTCCAACGCGATAAACAACCTAGAAGTTGCCGTTTTAAGGGTAGCGCAAAGCGAGGTCAGCACTGTCAACGCTGAAACGGAGCAGTTAAGAGGATTTACCATCGCGAATCTTGTTAAGAGAACGTTGAAAACCAACCGCGCGAATCCCAACGACGTCGGCACACGTCGCTGTCGTAGAATGCTCGACGAAGAAATGTTTAGGAAATACTTGCCTCTTTAAAAATACTAGGATTGACGGTGTTGTTTGTTACGTGACGGCTCAGACCGGCTGAACAAGCAGCTAGCGCTTCTTAAAGTAACATGCAACACTTTCAACGCGTCAGTCGAATCAATTTTAGTCCATCTTCGAAAGTTACATGGTAACTTTGATATTTTTTCTCAATCCGTTCGACTGGTTGAAAGCAACCGACGCGAACGCGCAACCCATTGGTCTGCCGTCGCTTTTCCGTCTTGTGGTTACGTTCGTGTCTAACTAATCGTACACAACAGGTCATAACCAATGTCGGTACATTTCAATTCTCGTCCGTCCGTTCAATTATATGCCAAGTACCGCAAGCGTCTATATTAGGACCACTTCTATTTAACTCTCGAGTTTCTATGTATGCCAAAGACAACCTAATATTCTAGCTTATTTACATCCCTATGATTTCAACGGATCGTGTAGAAAATTTCGGAAGGATCCTTGACCCGATCAATCGGCTCCCACTGCTTACGCATGTCCTACATGTGTTCTATGTACACGCACTTATCATATCTCTCGCAACGTGCAACAAAAATATCTGTTGAGGTGTCCCATGACGAGGAGAAAATAGAAAATTGTCGATGAATTGGTATTCGTAAATTCAGTGGCGAAGCGATGTCAATGTCACTTCTGTTTCGACTCTGTTGTAAATAGCAGCTTGGTGAGTTCGAAACACGTTCGTTCAGAGCCGCGATACCCTTTCACGTTGCCACGACGACGCGTCTCGGGTCTCGATTATACGGTGCACGGATTAATTCTTGGCAGATAGTCTCGTCAAAAAGGTGACAGCCGGTACCCGTTTGTCAAGGTACTTGTACCGAGCGATCGTGCAGAGAAAAAAGGGGAGCTCCGAGTCAAAGTCCCATTCGTCTCACCGCGGCGAATACGAGGCTCTCATAGAATTCCTAATCCGCGCTCAGATCTAAACGGTTGCCAATCATTTCCGGTTCTTGGATTAGACGCGCGCGAAAAGTCGGATCGGCTCTTTAAGAGCATGAAACTAACTGGGCCCCCAAACCTTCCGGGGCCGAGCCGACCCGAAGCGACGCGACGCGACGCGACGCAAAACGCCAACAATGCGTCCCGGCACGAATCTTGCCTTCCTAAGCGGATTACAAACGATTTTCTACACGCGTCCGAAAAAGTCTCTATTTGCCGCGCATCAAGATCGGCTGTTCCAACCATTGCCCGCTCGTGAAAAGCTTTTTTCGATCTAGACATCGACGACCCTCCAATACGTTTTACATCGAGCATTCTAAGCGTTCGACGGAATACATTGAATGTTTCTGAAAGTTGACGCGCACGAAATACACATATGCTCGCTTATCGAACGATTTTCTCCGATCGCTGGAATATCATCGATAGAAACACAAAGAGATACGCATAAAAATCTGCGGTTGATCGTGGATAATTGACCGATCAAGTGCCGTGCCGTGCCGTGCCGTGCCGTGCCGTGCAATTTTGTCGGCGTTACACTCTTCCTAATTGGCTTTCATTAATTCTTTATCGAGTCGAAGAAGCATGGAGGACGACAGGTGCGCGCGCGGCCCACCAATTACTCTCGAGAGATTAGATGTACCTACTCTTAAACCAACTAAAAGATAATACCGAGCCAATAATAACGCTTTTTCTGATATGTATTCAAAAAATTCCTTTGTACAGGATGTTCGGCCGGGCCTGAGAAAAATTTTCACGGGAGATTCTAGAGGCCCAAATAAGACGAAAATCAAGAATATCAATTTCTAGATTGAGGTTTCGTTAAAAAGTTATTAAAAAATTTCAAATTATTATGAAAAAGTTATTTACGTTTCCGGGGGTCAATTACAATCATTTTTGTTTATTAGACATACCCCTGAAATCCTATCCAGTTTCGAGAAAAAAATTCAGGAAGGTGGACAAATTTTTCGACGAAATTAAAAAATTTCAAATCGATCTGGAAAAATTATTTTTACTTGCAGGGGTCAATTACAATCATTTTTGGTGAATAAACATACCCCCGAATTCCTACGCGTTTTCGAGAAAAAAAATTCTATAATGACTCAAAATGCTAGTGTGCTCGTATAGCTCGTTTGTGGTGAGAACTACTATCGATTGCACGCAGTTGTTCGCAAATTGCCGTTCCACGGACGGAAGTTTAAACGTTAATAACTTTTTAACGTAGCCGCAATCAACAAATTGATATGCTTGATGTTCCTTTTATTTTAGCCTCTAGAACCTCCCATTGAAATTTCTCCCAAGGGTGGCCGAACACCTTGTACAGTTACTAGCCATCGTATCGAAAGGTGTTCCGTCGAGAAAAAAGACAGACGCGATAAATAAATATGTCGTCGAGAGTAAACCGTGCGAAATAATTAAGAGAAGCATCATTTAGTAATTCGAGCGCGTTATCTCGGAGAGAAAAAAGGTTGATCCGTCGCGTCGGGAGAAGATATTCGAAGAAACGATGTTCGCGTCGAAAGCGTTGATAGATCGAAAGAACGGATCGTGTATAATCACCGGTTCAATCATCCGGAAAGCGTGTTCGCCGGCAATTACAACAGCGTTACTCCTTCTAATTGGCTTTCATTAATTCTTTAGAGGACGTCACACCGCGCCTCGCCGCGCCTCGCCGCGCCTCGCCGCGACCGGAGCGACCGGAGCGACCGGAGCGACGATTAGCCGCTTGAGGTTAACCGCGACTGATAACGGTGTCGAGCACAGGTTGTCTAGTCGAGGGAAAAGCATCGGGACACCGTGTTGATATCGTTTCGCTGTCGCGACATACTCCATTTCTCCAGGGACATTCCAAGTGTTTCGTATCGTTGTGTTACACCAACGCGCGATATCACCAACGAATCGAGTGTTTTTCTTCTTGCCGAAATCATTCCGACCAAGACAACGATTATCGACCGTGATTTAACCGCGATTTTTCGACGATAAACAAAAGTGCATAGCTATAGTACATACCTAGGTACCTACATAGATATAAGTAACTTTAAGTCCGACGGGGTCATCGATTTCGCGCTAACACATAGAAGAAAAAAAAGTAGGTATCTAGATATAAAGAAGAAGGAGTGAGAAATAATCGACGGATGTGTCGAAACGGGTAATCGCGTAATCGTTCCTTGGGATCCATTGAGCCGAAAAAAACCGCGGAGGTCTCTAATCAGGGGACGCACCGAAAAGACCGCGGCGTGGCGCGGCGCAGTGTTATATGGAATTTCGAAAGCAGAATCGATCGCGGGATCGATTAAGCCTGTTGGTGGTCAGCATCGTTTAGGGTGAATTATAAAGGAAAGGCGGAAGGTATTGTATATTTTCGTCGAATTCCGGTAAAAGGTCAGATACGATGAACGAAAGAAACATAAGAATTTATTAATTCTTGTAATATTTTTGTCAAACATTTCCTCCGTTCGCAAAGAAAGGAGTTTGTGGTAACGTTTGTACGCGTTAAGTTGGTCGCACAAGGTACAAATTGGACGAAACGACGCGGTTTCCTATATTTATCGCTAAAGTGCGATCAAATACGGTAAATTCAGTTGGCAGCAGGTGTTCTCGGAGGCGAAACAGCAGAGGACAGCTGACACGTAGGAGAACCGAATGGAACGGACGAGGGTAAGGTAGATAATTAAAGCGTCGAATCTTATCGAAAGGATGTCGTAACGGAGACAGCCTCTTTCTTTCGAAGAATAAATCTTACAAAGTTTGTGTACCCTGTGCCTTTCGGGACTACGTTTTACGTCCAGGCCATTAACGTCCTTGACACCTTCGCGAAAGTCCGCGCGAGAGCGGCCGGGTGAAGAAATCGTGCGACGAAATTGATTTCGCGGCTCTCTCCTCCCACACGGTAGCTCCCCGCTCGTTGATTGCCGTTGCTCGGGCAATTAACCAGCGTCGAGAAATGTCGCGCATTACTTATTGTTAGTTAGAAGGGGTACCGCATACCTTTACGGGGTGAATCTGAAATCGCGATCGTCGCTAACTAAGCGTCGCGTACAGTCGGTGAGCTGATCTCGCGTTATTTATCGGCAATAATTATCGAGAGGAGGAAACGGAGATAAGATACGGGATAGAATCGACTGCTTACCATTAGAAGTAACGGAAGCGCCGTCGTGATGACTAGCGTCGCTATCTTCGTCGAGGTTGCTGTTGTTCAACGATGTCCTGGACTGGTGTCTGACGCTGAGGTCTCTGGGCGTCGACGGTGGGCTACCGGGCGATTCTTGTGTCTGCAGACCAGCCTGGTGCACTTTGCTCGACGCGCCACCGAGAATATCGGTGATCATGAACCGGGATCTTTGCGGTGCCGAGGACGAGGCATCGCCGCGTTCCAAGCCGTTGTTGCCGCTATGATTGTTATTCCAGGCATCCAAGCCATTCGATTGCCGCTCGACTCTGATTCCGTTTCTCTCGACGATGTTTTCCAACCTATGCGCCTCAAGACCGGACATCCTTGTCAGATTGAGACCGTTGTTAGCCACGGTGACACCGCTCAGAGCGGCCACGTGCCGGTTCTGATGATGATGGACCGTCATCACGGTGCACGTAGGTGGTTCCTTTGGGCTACGGGCACCCGCGGGTGCCTCAGTCGCCACCCCAGGACTCGCCCTGTACCTGGGAGACAGAATCTTGCCGAGAGTAACGACCTCGTCTTCGTCAAGGAGCTCGTTTCACCGAATCGTACCAAGCTAACTACACTTCACTGTATCCGAATTATCCTTTCGGCCACTGTAGCGTCTTCCTGGACCGTTTGTTCGGATCTGTGACGATCATTACAATCGATCGAACGATCGATCGATCGTTTATCGAGAATTTCTTATCGACGTACACTCGACCGCATCGCGTTACCCGACACCGAATAAATATGAAAATCTTGTCCTTTGCTCTCGATGTCGATTGCACCGTTGCCGATTGCAACGAGGATTTGTCTCTAAATATCCGTAAGACAAATCGATAGGCTAATCTGACGATCGATTTCGAACTGAGAATCAGGAGGAAATGGCGCGTAAGATGGTTGCGATGCACCTTGCGTTTTCTCCCGTTTGTTCGGCCGCTTCACCGCCACCGCCACCGCCACCGCCACCGCCACCCCCGCACCCGCACCAGCACCCGCACCGGCACCGGCACCCGCACCCGCACCCGCACCCGCACCCTCGCCCTCGCCCTCGCCCGGTCTTGCTCTTGCTCCCGCCCCTGACTTGTTCGTCTTCTTCTTCTTCTTCTTCTTCTTCTCAGCTGCAATTAAGGGGCCGCTCCGCTGGTCTCCGTGGTTAATCGCTAATTGGCCACTTAACATAATTACCGTTCGTAACAGCTCAGTCCGCCGGCCATTTCCGCTTTCCTTTTCCTCTCTTTTCTCGCCCGTTTAATTAATAATTATCTTTCGATGAAATTTTTGCCAAATCCGCCTTACGTCGCCACCTTTTTACTCGGTCGTGCGGTTTTAGTGCGGTCGGGGTTACAGTTGTCGGGTCGCGCATCAATCCCACCTATTACGTTCGACGAGAATCATTAATAGAATCGAGCTGTTTGTAACATTTCGGGGTACCATCGACGAGATAGTCGACGATCCGTCGAAACCGGCTACGATCGCTGCGATCGTGTTGCGATTAACCAACAGTGACCGAACCGGTTTGTCAAACTTTCTGTTCCAAGCCTCTTCCGACGCTCACCTAATAACGTCTTCCATATTTCGTTCGGATGCACTGCCACGAGAACGCTCGAAACTCGGTTGTTCACTTGCTCGAACTCCGTGATTGATCGCGCAAACACGCGACAACCCTCGTTAACTGTTCACCGAAACTGACAGCTGGTCCTCTTCGAAGGTGTCCTCGGGCACGGTCGTACGATCGACCATCCACCTTCCGGGAACTGGTTTCCGATTCGCTCTAGGAGCGATAATGGTCGTTTCACGGTGAGCCGGCGCGCCGCGAACCTCCGAAATCGCGGTAAATAAAAAAATTCGATCGGATGAGAGGAGAGATAGAGTAGTATGTAGTCAGTCGTCGAGGAGCGTACTGAGTGGCGAGGCGTGCGTACGCATCGGATTGCCGCGACTGATCTGTCCGCACTGACCGGACGTCAGGCGCCTCCGCTCGTTCCTGGGGCGGCCATATCGCCGTTCTGGCACGCCCTGATCATTCCCCTCCGTTTCTTCGCCTCGACCAATCTACGATCCCAGTGTTAACCAGCCGGCCAATGGGATGCACGACGACCTCGGCGCCTCCGCTTCGTGGCGCGGCTACGCCCAACTAATTTGAAATGTGTTTCAGCGGTAATTCGATATAAAATTGTAGTTAATATCTTTCATTATAGCGCGGGGAGTGGGCCACCGGCTGAAAGTGGTGGGGCTCGTTTCAACGAACGGGGCGCGGCGAGGGAAATCCAACGGAGGGCAGGGGAGAGATTGATACGAGCTCCCCCACTCGGACCGATTCTGGTTGCTCTCCTTCGCTCCTCCGCTCGTTTTCGAGATCGGTTTACGAAGCAGTCGACCGGCTGGAGCTGGAGAGGTCCTGCTCGACCACCTGGAAGGGGTTGAAGAACCGTCGAGGCCGAAGAAGGTTGGTCCTGGCTCGAGCCTTGCTCGCGCATTCAAAAAACCTTTCTCGACCAACATACATATGTACATACAACCTATTATGTACAATCCCGTAAACGCGTATATGTATTCGCCTAAAACGTTGATAATTTATTTTAGAAAATCTGTATCGCTCCGCAATCGTTGGTATTGCATATTTAGAGCGTGGTTTTCGCCCCGTTATCGTTTCCCTTTTATTGTTCGTTGATCCGATCGGTCGATCGGAGAACGAGACCGACAACAATGTTCACTCGGCGGAACAGAATGCGCGTACGAAATCGGTGGCGTTTTCAAAAGGAAACGTAACTTTTCATGAAAAAATTCACCACCAACGACTCGTTGAATCGAATCTAACGACCATCTGGTTAAATGTGTTTCCCTCTTGCTCTCCGAATTCATCGAGTCGGCGCGGTGAGGCGCGGTGAGGCACGGCGAGGCACGGCGAGGCACGGCGCGTCGCGGCGGCCGGTTGCTCTTCCGGAAACTATTCGATCTTTTCGGAGAGTCGTAGCTGGAAGGTGAAGGCCGATGGTTCGAAAGCAACGTAGGCGTTGTCGGCGCGCGACCGTACGCTTATAAAGGAATAATTATTCCGCTATCAGAGTCGGTACCGCTTCGCGAAATCGAATCGATCACGCCGCAGTGCGCCGAAATGGAGGAATTATAGAAATTAGGGGTGGCGGCGTCATTTAATTAGGGGATCCCGTGGATAGGTGAACTCGTATTTACACGAGCGGCCCATATGGCGCACCGTGCTACGCAAGACAATCCTTTTTGTGCGAGATCGCGATAATGTATACGCGACACGCCGAATCTGCGCTTCGAAACCGGTCATTATGGTACAGTTCGTTACGTGGCATTTACACGCCGTGAATATGGATCACGAGAGATTGCTATCTCGGAGTATTTCAGATATTCCAAGGACCAAACGCGCTCCTTTCGTCGCGTCGCGTCGCGTCGCGTCGCGTCGGTTCTATCTGTTAGCTGAAACGCAGCTGTTTAACTCTTTGCAGCAACGAGTTGGAGAAATTCCAAGGGTCGAGTTATGTCTCAGAGGCACGCCTACTTCCATTGTCACGCGTTCAATTATTCCCGCTAACTACGCCGCAGGACGCGCCGTGCCGTTAAACAATCACTGTCTCGGCGAAAGAAACAAAACGGTACCTACGTCAAACTTTGACTTTTCCCCTTTTCTACGAACAACGCGCAAACAGAGCGTCGTTCCCTAAATGAACAAAAATAACGTAAACAGCTGAACGAACACTAGTAAATTGTAACAGGATTCGAACATCGTCCAGTCACGAGTAAACATCCCGCCGCGTCGCTCGTGTTTCCTTTCTTTGTTTGCTCGTACGACGCTCCTTCTGCTTTATTCCGGATGTGCATACGATCAAGTGTAATTTCTGCCGCGAGCGCGCGCCAATCGCACCTGGAAACCTGCGATCATCGTTCGTAGGTGGTTCGGCGGACGATCGTTCGAATCAAGTACTTATTGTTAGTTACCGGCGTTGTTGGCATCTTCGAAGAAACCGATGCGTGTGCTCCGCGTTTTTCTTTTTTCGTTTCAACTACGTTTTATGTAGTAGTAAAGAAAAACTATTTTTAAAAAAAATGTTAAAAAATTAGTGGTAAACGCGGCTTTACGAGGAAATAAATTTTGTAAAGCTCGCAGCGTTTGCCGGCGAATCGTCGTCACGAAAGGTCGCGTTCCGTTGCGAACGTATACATACAGATGTACGTTTTCTCGGTGCATCGAGGATAAACGGTTCGAAGGATCGTTGCTCGAAATTCCATTAAAACGCGTAGAAAGGAAAGCAAAATTTCCGAGTGCGGCATGGACGAGGACGCGGGCAACGCGGCGGGCAGGCGATAAACGTTTGAAAATTAACGATCTTTAAAGACGCTCGTAAAATTCGACCAGATAAGAATCCACCTTCTACTTGCTTCCTCCAAGAGCCGTATCGGCCGGCACGCACGAAACGCACTTGCGAGCTCACAAATTACTCCCACGCGTGCTAACAGTGTTTCGTTCGCGCGTGCGACCTGCGCGGGCAACTTGCGCGTCCGCCGAACGTTCTGCCTACGCGCAAACGTCTTTCGCGCAAAACCACCGAACGAGCTAGATCGCGCGATTAAATCGCTAAATTGAAATCCTGCTTACATCAAGTTGGCAGAGGATGCACTCGTACTTACGTAGGTACGTGCATCTACAAACATCGAATCCACTTCCACCCTTCTTCGAGCTAAAATTAAAGAGTGAGTATGTCCTGTTCCTAGCACTTGTAAGTACCTACTTGTCTCTGTTGATATCAAAGTTACTCAAAAAAACGAAACGGAACGGTACGGAAAGTTGTCGTACGGTTTCGATCGAACGGTACTGTGGGATCGGGAAGATAATGACTCCGCTCTGTTCCGTTCCGCACAATTTTATTGTTGCTGTCGTACAACGACGTGACTCGTGGTGCGGGTTACGCTCGACTCTCTGGTACGATCATCGCCACCGTACCAAGAGGCCTTCAAAAACAAAAGACGGTCAGAGACGACGACAACGGCTTTTCGGCTCACGCGGCTCTGGTCGTCTCGTGTGCAACCATCGTCTCGTGTGCAACCATCGTCTCGTGTGCAACCATACATTGTAGCGGCTTCGAACGGCTAAGGCGTATGTGGTGCCTTGGCCGCCACACTACCCCCCTGCCAGTAATTGGCACAATTACGAAAAATTGACCGACTACATTACCACTACCATTTACTCTATTATATAAAATACGTTATCCTAACTAAGATTTACATTACAGTATTTGAACAGAGTTGAAAAAAAAAGGAATTTACATGGAGTTTAATATATAATACGTAATACCTAAAAATACATGAAAGTACATAAAAGTGATGGAAAAAAATAAATGGTATATGATACTTATTATAATAATGCGCAAGCCTTAAGTACTACCGCGTAATTTGAAATCGCTCGGGAAAACGTACGCGTCTACCTGAACGCGTGACACGTTGCTGTATAACCGGCGCATTGTCAGGTACGTTTGTTTGTGTGACCGGCTGATTTTCTATGCTCACGGGATCCGGTCTGTTTTCTGCTAGCATATAAGCAGGCTTTAGCCTTTCAATTGATATATTTATTTCCTTACCTCTAATGTTTATTGTAAATGTTTTTTCGCCTCGGCGCACTACGGCGTATGGACCTTCATAAGCGGGTTGTAAAATAGTTTTGGCTGAATCTGTTCGGATGAAAACATGTGTTGAACTGCTAAGATCTTTGAAAACGA